TGGTTTGTCTGATGACCCTCTGAAATGACAGTAGCCTGAATGTAACATTTATTCAGTAATTCTAGCTGAAGAATATGGCTGAGAGTTTCCTTATGGCTAATGCCTTCCTGTCACATTTGAATCATTTGGGGATCTTGATTTAAGTCTGCAAGAGACACTACAGAGAACTCCAAGTGATTGTTACTTAGCTCGATGTAAGCAACTGACTTTCTTTCTTTCTTGGCTGAATTTGCTGACTGGTATAAGCCCAGGCCTATTTCCTTCAGGAAAAGCCATATTAGTACTCACCAACAGAGATAAAATGCCATCAATTACCCAGATGAGAAATAGGATTTGTCTCAAAAACACTGTTAGCTATGATACTGTCATTTTTGAAAAGAAGAATTATTTTAAACATTTAAAGCCAGACTTCCTTTCTCTGATTATAAAGCTTTCCAATGTTGCCACTTCCTCTATCCCTCAACCTCAGGCAAAGTCTTGCTATATAGCCCAAACTGGTCTTGAACTTGTAATCCTCCTCCTCAATGTCCCCACCTCTGTGATTATAGGTATGTACCCTTATGTCTGGCTTTAACCCATCTTGTATTTATTTTTATCATGGCTCCCAGAACATAATAGGTATGGGCTTTGATGTGGAAACTATAATATACAAGCAAAAGACAATAATATACAAGTAAGAGAAAAAGTGCCCAAACAAAGCAATATGAGACAAAAATGCCATTGAGTTCCTTCCTTCCTTCCTTCCTTCCTTCCTTCCCTCCCTCCCTCCCTCCCTCCTCTCTCTCTCTCTTTCTCTCTCTCTCTCTCTCTCTCCTCTCCTCTCTCCCCTCTCTCTTTCAGTGTGTGTGTTGGTCATCTAATGCTGGGCATGAGCTTGGACCTACCATTAAGTGTGGTTTATACACCCAGTGAGAAAAATACTTGGAGAAATAATTTTTAGCTGTTATAGTTTGGAGATAGTTTCTTGATTAGGGATAGAGCTTGTGTCTGCTCCCCCTTCTCAGCACTGGGACCCAACTGTCTTAAACTTGTGCAGGCCCTGTGCATGCTGCCACAGTCTCTGTGAGTTCCTATCAACCTTTATTTTTTTCAGGTATGTTATTTAGTTTCTCTGGTTGTCTACTTAACATCTTGAGTATCTACTTTATTTGAAGGCACTGAGAATATAAGACAGTCTTTGACCCTAGAGCTCTTATAGCTCAATGAAGAGATGCATTAGAAATACTCTGATTATAATTATGTTTAAAGCAGAATATTTGTTTAAAGCAGTAACAGTTATGACTGATGCTATTAAATGATATGAGATACATGAGACCATAAAGGGAAGTATGATTTATATTGGTCAGTCTCTATTGGGATTGGAAAAGAGAGATGCTAGCTGTGAGTTTATTCTCTTGTTGACTCTTCTGATTATTTTTTTTTGTAGCACTGGGATCAAACCAAAGGCCTTGAACATGCTACACCATTGAACTACACCACACCCACAGTCCCTTAGCTGGGATTTTGTAATATGAATGCATTAGATGAGCAAATGTCAGTGGGGAAGAGCATTTGAGGGGGAAGAGGAGACAGCAGGTTTAGGGAGTCCAAGTCAGGGAAGGCATGGATTTATCTTCCTTCTAAAATGAACCTTGTGGTACAGATGAACCAGAGAGTGGCATGAGAAAGGGCCGAGAACAGAGCAAGGGCAGGTATTTCAGGGCATGCCAACATTTCAGATTTTGTCCCAGAGAGTATGGCTGTCAAACAGAAGAATGAATTGCTATATGGAAGACAACTGATGGAAGGCAGGTGTAAAACAGACCTGTTAGCAGACTTTTGTAGTGAGTCAGGTAAGAGATGACAGCTTGGTCAGAGTGATGACACCAGAGTTGACAATACATGGGCATATTTGAGACATATTTTATAGATGATATGGCTTGTTGGTGGATGTAAAAGGTGGACATGAGAGGTAGTAAGCATCCATTCCAATATATGGAATGTATGACTAGGCACACACAAGTACCACCACCAAGAAGAGAAAAAGCAGAAAGAAGAGGGAACATTAAAGCTCCGGTTTGTGACAAGTGAAATTTGAAATGCCTGCAGGATATTCAAGAGCAGATGTCCCACAGGAAGACAGAGATGCACTCTGTTGGGAATTATGGACAAATAGAGGCTATTTGAACAGTTATTGGCTTTCAATGTGTTTTCTTCTCTTTTAAATGTCAGGATGGCCTTGTACTTGTTTTATTTGGCTCTTCTCTTTAGAGTATTTGGGCTGTGGCACTGGTTACAGTTTTCAGCCTCCTATTTTAATCATCTGAATTGTGCCTTATTTTGCAAACTTCTTTTTAATTACACTGTAAAGATATAGCATTTAAACAGAAAGAAGAAATTTTGACTATTTGTGTGCCTTAGCCCAGTCACATGGTAACTCTTGCTATTAGTCCCTTAAATATATAAGAAGTACTGGTTGTTTTCAGTTTTTGAAAAATTATCATACAATAATCTGACAATTATTAGTGAAGGTATGTCTAGATTTTACACCAACAAAGGTCTTATTGCCCAACACACACCACTGGGGACTTAGCAATGTTCTGAGTTAGATTTTAAGGGATGTTGTAAGATCTATATCAGAACCATCAATCCATGGTTAAAACAAACACTATTCATGTTAGTTCCAGATATTCTTGCTATAATTTAGAAACACTTCTTCCATATTTATAGATTTTTCAGGATAGTTTGTGGGACAGAAGTAGAATTTTGATTTTTATCCATTGGAATAAAATCACACTTAAATCGAAAACAAACATGTCTCACTAAGCATTATTGTAGGAATGGACAGTTTTCAAGCAAATCCAGGTGATCTATATGTCATGGATTATCCTGGTACATTATTGGTTAGGAGGCACAACTAACCTAATGTTCTTATAGTTTTCAAAGGAAAGCTATAGAAAGTATCAGCATTACTAGAAGTCTTTCCATACCTCAGTGACAGCAAAGCTTCTCTTTCCGCAGGGAACCACCTTGTACCACTTGTCATGTAGCACATCCATAAACCCGTGAGACTTGTATTGACTGATGAGCTCAGATATGTTAGAGGTCAATGGAGAGTTGGGAGGGAGACCAATGCCATATCCTAGAAGAAAATGCAATCTCACATGAGTTCTTCATACTTTTCTGAGAGGTGGTCACCATATTTCTATAATATTGCCACACTGGTAATAAAGGCAAGGTAAGTCTGTATTACATTTCCAGGATACACTTAGAGATGATTCCCCTTGGGTCAACTGCATCTCTGAGAAGATGCAATGAGTCTGAGTCTGAAAAGTAGAGATGTACAGGGTGTATTTGAAAAGCATTTTATGATCTTCCTTTTTCTTCCCAGTGGTTTTAGAAGCAATCTTTGAGTTTTTTTCCCAGTTTTGGGATTTCCTAGCCATTTTCCCAATAAAACTTCATGTGATGGTTAATCTTAATCAACATATTGGTTGGATTGAGAAGTGCCTAGAAGGTTAGGGAAGTACACCATGGGGGTATGTTTGAGAAGACATTTCTAGAGCAAAATAATTGAGGAAAAACTTATTTATTTCAATTTCATGATTTCAGAATTTTCAATCCATTAACATGGAGAAGAATTAGAAGAGGAGTTTACTTTGACAGCCAGGAAAAAAAAGGGCATACAAGAGCAGGAGAGGATAAAATATAGCCCCCATAGATACACCTCTCAACAATATTGTCATATTATGAATTCATCAAGGGATTATACATTGATTAGGTTAGAGTCCTGAGGAGTTAATCACTTCTCCAAAGCTCATCAATTAGGAACCAAGCCCTTAACATAAGAACTGATAGAAGACATATATTCAATCCATAATACCACGTGAGCAAATAATACACCATGAGAGAGGTTAAAGATCACAAGGACTTACAATAACTAACTTTAATTGTCAAACAAGTGGTAAAGACAAATGTTAGAGAAGACATGGAAAGAATGCAAACTGATGTAGTTACTTTGGAAAACAATTTGGTAATATTTCATATAGTTAGACACTTATACTAAGACCTAAAAACATTTACAAACAACTCCCCCACAAGTACACAAGGAAATATGGTTAAGAACACAGCTCATAAACACAAAACTTGGAAAGAACCCAGATATTCTTTGACAAAAGCATGAGCAAATAAACTGTGGAATAGTTTCATGATTAGAATATTACATAACTGAGACATATGAGTTAGAAATGGATAGATTTGTATGCATAACTCATAGCAATATTGGGGAAAATGCCATTCCTTCAAAACCTGAAACATGAATTTATTTTGTCCACGTAAAAACATACATACATTAATATATGTTTTAAGAATACATATGGGTGGATGAAACTACATTTAGAAGAAAATCAAGGATACAACTTAGAGATCTAAGATGACAGTTATGCAAAGCATAAGGAAGCAGGAAAGGGGATAGACAAAGAGAGCAAAGATGGGTGTATTATCAGAGTTTTATTAATCAGCCTAGACTATATTCTTACACTGTCCGACTCCATGGCTTTCCTAACTGTTAACACACTGCTAATCACTTTGAGGAGCCATGTGAAAGAGGCTAATTAACTACATCTTGTTTGGTTATTAGATCTCACAGTCAAAATGAAAGAAAGATTTTTCTTTTTGCCCTCAAGATGATTGAGGAAGACAAATTAAAAATGCAGTTAATTCCTTTTTCATAGATAAAGACTAAAAGGATGTCAAAGATTCAAAGATACTTAATGAGTAAAATACCGGCTCTGATTATTCACTTTACAACCCAATTCCAAAGATACTAGCTTGTTCTTTGTCTTAATGCAGATATACAATCAATTTGAAGAATATGAGACCAGTGATGTGGAATAGAAATATGTAGTACCAAACAGCTTTTGAGTTTTAAAGCATTACAGGTTTGTTTTTGTGATAATTCTTTTTGTTTCTTAAGAGTGCAACATCAAGAAAATGATGACAATGTCAAAGGTATAATGTGGATTTTTCTGTTCAAATAGATACTAAAAGGGCATTCTTTGTGACTGGTGGTTTTGATTTGAAAAGGCAAGACTGACAGGAATAGAAGTTGAATGGGTCACTGGTGTTTTTATTAATTAACACTTTATATAGTTGTGACTATGCTCTTTTAAAGATTAAAAAAATGTGCTGGCTGGAGAGATGGCTCAGTGGTTAAGAGCACTGCCTGCTCTTCCAGAGGTCCTGAGTTCAATTCCCAGCAACCACATGGTGGCGCACAACCATCCGTAATGAGATCTGGTGCCCTCTTCTGGTGTGCAGATATACATGGAAGCAGAATGTTTTGTAGCGAGTATAAGAATAGCCCTATTGTATGTCAAAAAACCAACTAGGAAGAGCCCTCACTAATTACAAAATTTCTCACAAAGATCCCCTTAAAGCTAATAATTTCAACCCTCATCAGTGTAACAATGGAAGGCTAATTTTCATCTTTTAATTTGACAAATAGTGATTTTGCACATATTTATTTGTGTGTAATGTTATGGAGGTGTCTGTTTTAACTTGGATACAGAGCCTGTCTGTGGGAGATTAGGGTGGCATGTGGCTCTGAGGCATACGCAGCAGCTGTGCAGCACGGTGGAAAGATACATGACTTTTCTTGGGAAAAAGATAGGGGAGGCATAAACTTAATACAGATAACATATAATAACTGAGACACAATGGAGAGAGTGAAGACATTCTGTGGGATGAGAAATTGCTACTGAATGAAAGGAAGACAGGGACATCTTAGATTGATTTTTGACAGTGCCTTTTTTTTTTTAAAGTAGAGGAGACCAAAATACATAAGAAAGTTTGAAAAGTGTGAAATTACAACTTAGGATTAAACCTACATATTCTAAGGATATAATTTTTGGTACTATGATAGAAGCAGTAAAAGTCCCCAAGGGAAGGCTATGTTGAAGTTGCAAAGACATTTATAAAAAATGGCTACCCAGGAAATAATGAATATTAAATCATTCTACTCCATCATGCCTAGATTAATTTGCAATGAACTGCTAAAAATAGATTGACATCCTTTTAATTTTTTACTTTAACACATACATTGGACATTGATGTTTCAATGATTTCTAGCATTAATAATAATTATTAACTAGGTAAAACAAGGGAAGAATAGAAAAAAAGTTATGTGTCTGTGAGAGGGGAATTTACTGCTAGACATAAAAATCCATTTTATTTAAAAACATAAAAATGTAAAAAATTTTTAAAGTTTCATTTCTATCCTTTTGTTTTATCAGTTGCTTCTCATTAGTTAAAGAGATCTTACTTTTAAATTGCTGACATGGCTATTTATTCAGAGTTGCCTAAATTATCACTAGAAACTCGGTTTTGTAGAATCGACAGGCCTGACTGTCATGTGGTTGATGGATGGAGCAGAATGGAATCCTTCAACCCTAAAGATGATGGCATCAGGCACCCTGGAAATTGGATACAACTTAATAGCTTAGGAGAATGATTTCCTGAATAGAATCCTGATCTTTCCTCCATGTATAAGTCAGCTTTACTAGGCTAAGAGTGGTAGAAACATACTTTGACCAGTAAATGTACGGTTAGAAATTCATAGCTAAAAAGTATCTTACAAATGTGTGGCTGGAAAATAGTTATTTTGAATATAAGAACTCAAAAATAAAATATGGTGTTTTTAGAAAAAAGACCTAAGTACAAAGAATCACTTGATTTTGTGTTTGTCCTTGAACTAACCATATTTAATTACTCTGAGATAATGGTTGAGAGCATATTCCCAATTTGAAAGAGGTATTAAAGACGGGTTTTCCTTACCTCTAGAACATCAAGTTGGGAAGAGAAGGAGCTGAGATCCATGAAGGTTATCTTGGGAGAATTTTTGTCATGCATAGTTATCAACGTAACCAGTATCCTGAATATCAATAACTTATTGAATACATCTTGTGAAGTGGATGGGTGTGTTCCACATGCTTTACATGAACTATTTTACTTAAGTTTCATGATAACCTTATGCTATGTGTTCATGTCATATCTTCATTATGCAGATGAGGAGCTGGAAGGACAGATTAAGATGTTTGCCAGTGAGTGACAGCAATTCTATTTTAAACCAGACACTGGAGTCAGTGCTCTAAGCACTGCATTAAATAATTATTGGAAAGCCAGTAAAAGAACAGCTCAGAAACAGGCAAGGCCCTTTGCTGAAAGGTCACGGATCATTATTGTGCAGTTACATTACTCTTTCTCTCTGCTTGACCTTTATTGTCTGCTAACGCCAATGCATAAATTTGGGGCATGTGTTCATTTATCTTAACACTTTCCCTTTTATTCTCAAGAACATAATATGTCTTTGTGCCTCTGGTGCACAGAATTTCATTTGACCAAACACTTTCTGCATATCCTTGAACTGATAATAGAATTTTAAAAATTTATTTTTATTTATTCTTTGAAAATTTCATATATGTATATAGTATATCTTGGTCATATCCACCCCCACTTTCCCTTTCCAACACCCTCAGGCCTCCTCAACACATCTCTCTCCCAACTTTATCCCCCCATTTTTTTCAATAATTCAGAGTTCAGTTAATACTGCCTGTATTTACAAGGTTATGGTGCCATCCACTGGGGCAGAGGCAACCTGCCAGTGGCCCCACCCATAAAGGAAAGTGACTGTTCCCCATACTTGAGTAACAGTCATTAGCCAACAGCTTTCCTACTAGGAATGGGGCTTTGAGAGTTCCCTATCTATGCTGGAATGTTGACTGGCTCAATCTTGTACAGGAAACTTCAGCTCCACTGAATTAATGTGTGCTATAGCAATGTCATGTTTAGAAGACAACATTTCACAGCACTCTTCTGTATCCTCTGACTCTCAACTCTTTTGTGGAAAAGAAAGTTGACCCTTGAAAGGACTTCAAATTCAAGGTAGAGCCACTGCCACTCATAAATCTTACTTTAAAACTTAAGTAAGAGCAGAAAGGTGAGGTTGTGGGGGAGTATTCAGTAATTAACTTTCTTGGGCTACCATAAAAATTTCAAATATAGGGTATCTTACACACAACAAAAAGACATTTATTTCTTATAGTCCTGGTTCTGGGAAGTTCAAGAACAGCCATGGGATTCAGTGTTTCATGAAGATCTCATTTCTAGTTCAGAGGTGGCTTATCTAGCTGTGTCTTCATGTAATGATGAGCTTCCATGGGTCCATTTTATATGGGTATCAATGCCATTTCTTTACAGCTAGAATCCTCATGATTTATTGAGTCACTCTATCTAATTACTTCCATACTACCATTGCAGTGAGGATTAGGTTTCATATGAAATCTGGGCGGCTGCAACCTCTAGATTCTAGAGTAGAAGATAGTAGTCACATTACTCAGTCTGTGCTCAATATTATGTTGATCCAATGTATATTCAGCATGGAGGAATTAGGAGATTCTGTTTTCCCTCCTAAGTTCCTGAAATTATTTATATACTTGGGAAAGTATGTGTAAACTGTGAGTGTGCATTTGAGTTACTGCATTAATAAGTGAACTAGGTACTTGTTTGAATTTAAACTGATGAGTTACATAATTGGAAATAGATAATTTATTACACAATTAGTACATGCTAGCAGATCCCACAGATTGTTGTAGGCAGGCACCTACAATGTTCCTATGTGCTGAATGAGCAATTACTGGTCAGGAATCACTTTGATTTTTATATGTATACATTTTTATATGTATGTAGTCTAGTATAATAATAACTCTCACATTTTTATAAATTCATAAATTATATTTTGCCAAAGAAAAACATAATAATGTAAAGTTTTCTTGAAAAATAAAGGTAATACTTGGAAATATTTATCTAAGAAATCCTTGAGATTAACACTGAAAAAAAATAGAATTCAAAGCCAGGCATGGTCAAACTCATGGAATCCAGTTACAGAGAGGGTGGAGTGATGAGCAAAGGGGTCAAGACCATTCTGGGTAAACTCACAGAAACAGCTGACCTGAGCAAGTGGAAGATTACGGACCCCAGTCTGACAGCTGGGGAACCAGCATAGGACTGAACCAGGGACCCTGAGCTTGGGTGACAGTTAGGAGGCCTGGGTAGTCTATGGGGCCTCTTTCGGTGGAATCAGTATTCATTCCTAGTGCACTAGTGGACTTTGGGAGCCCATTTCCCATAGAGGGATACTCTCTCAGCCTAAATATATGGGCGAGGACCTAGCCCCTGCTCCAAATGATGTGACAGACTTTGATGATCCCCACGGAAGGCCTCACTCTTCCTGGGGAATGGATAGGGAGTGAGAGGGGGGAAGAAAGAGGGAGGTTGGTGGGGGACATGGAAGGATAGGAGGGAGAGGGAACTTGGATTGATATGTAAAATAAGATTGTTTCTAATTTAAATAAAAAGTAAAACAACAACAACAACAACAACAACACCCCCCCACCCCCACAAAGTCAGGTATGATGTTACCTGGAAGTAAGGAAGTGAAGAAGGAAGAAGGAAGAGCAAGAATTCAAGCAAGCTACTACCTACACATAAGGTTTGAGGTCATCCTGTGTTATCTGAGACTCTAATCTCAAAAAATCAAATCAAGAACATGAAATCAACATTAAAAATTATTGGGTCTGCTGGGTAGTGGTGATTGCACACTTTAATCCCAGTACTTGGGAGGCAGAGCAGATGGATCTCTGAGTTCAAGGCCAAGCTGGTTTACAGAGAAAGTTCCAGGACAGCCAGGACCCTGTCTCAAAAACCAAAAGAAAAAAATATTATGTCTGTTTTGCTCTCTTGCAATGCTTGAGATTATACTTGAGACTTTATGTACAGTAAGCAGGCACTTGCCACTGAACTATATCCCTAGTTAACTAACTTTTTTCACTAGTCTCTCCCACCTTTGTGTGTAACTTATAAATAATATCCCATTTGTACTGTTTGTGCCGTGGTTTGAATCTAAAATATTCCTGGAGAGTTTTTGTGTTGAAGTTTTGGCTTTCAATGCAGCATTGTTCAGAGGTCAGGCACTTGGGAGGTGATTGGAGTGTGAAGACTCTGATTCACTGTGTGGTTGGGTCTGTTCCTCTGTTGGAGGAAGGAGGTCATTGTCTATATTTTTTTAAGGGTTTATTTTGTAAATTGCTCTGCTCTTTCTTCTCTCGATCTCTGTTTCATGGTCACTACGAAGTGAGCAGCTTTGCTCTACCATGTTCTCTTTGCCATAATGTTCTGCCTCAACACAGGCCCAGAAACAACATCCAAGCAACTATGCACTAAACTCTTGGAACTGTGAGTCCCAAAAATAATTTCAAAAAGCCTGTCACAGTGATAGAGAGCTGACTGACATATTTTGAGTTTAGGTTGTGAACTCATTCATGGAGGCAGTATTTATTAAATTTTCTCATTTGCATTTCTGTTGTTATAACAAAACACCAGAAAAGAAAGCAACTTAAGGAGGAAAGGGTTAATGTTGGCTTATAGTTTCAGGGTACAGTCCCTCATGATGGCAAAGTCATGGCATCAGGAACTTAAAGCAGTCTAGGAATCTAGCTCATGAAAAGTTGTTACCTACATTCTGGGTGCCATCTTTCAATCTCAATTAAGACAGAATCTCTCACTAGCATGCCTAGAGGCTCATCATCTAGGTGATCCTAGATCCTGTTAAGTTGACAGTATTGAGCATCACACAGCTCTTTAATTCAGAGAACGGTGGTCGTCATGTCTGTTCTTCTCATACCTTTGCTCTTTTTGCTCTTTGAGTGTGCATTTTGTATTTATTCTCTTTGAGAACAAAGCAGTGACTCAAATGATAGGAACTACAAGACACTTAATCTCAGGAGCACAGATGGAAATGTAAACAGGAAACCAGTGGGGAGTTAATTGTGTGGCATCTGGCACTGAGGTCCAGAAGAGGCAAACAAGGCATCTTACCACTACTTTTTGACAAGATGGGGTTGCTCCCTGGAGACAAAGGTGGAAAATAGAGCCCCTTATTCTTATGTCCTCTACAAATGATTTGTTGTTAGCAACCTAATGGTAGAATGGACCTCAATTACCCCACACATCTAGGACATAAATAAAATGTCTCTCTGTGTCCCCAGATGCTACAAAAATGGATTTTCCCACTGTTACATTAAATAGGCTCTTGAGTTTTCTGGTTCTCTCTACCTCTCTCTTTCTTTCTCTCTTCTTCACTCTCATACCCCCACCCCACACTTCATATTCTCGTCTTAGCAGAACAATGTGATCATCCTGAAATCCTGAGTTTCATCACTGTCATCTTGTTTGGAGAGGAGACTTATAGCTCCCACAAAAAGGCTTGAAAAAATGAGAGTAGCTGTTTATTCCCCATTCATTAAAAACACAAAGACTGAAGAAAAAATCCACTGATATGCAAAGGGGAGACAGAGACCAACTACAGCTGTGAGATTGAAACCAGAATAGTCTTATCCCCCTGCCAACATACAAAAAACACAACATAAAAAAAGCACAGATTTCTGAAAGCTAAACTTTGGTACACAATGAAATTGTTTTAAAGCAAAATGTTTTCTGACAAGTGTTTATGAGCACCAGCTTGGATTGTCAGAAAGGGGAAGCTGAGAATTGGGAGGTATGGAATTTTCTGGTTCAGACTATGTAGTCCACATATCAACTGTTGTTCAGAATGAGAGAAAATACTGACAAAGCAATGATTCTTTGGTTCTGAAGGTTGATTGATGGGTTGATCTATTTGGAAGCAAAACTTATTGCCAGTGGGGAAAAACAATCCTGGGGCTCAAACAAGGTTTTGTTTAAGGACCCAAAGGATACTAAATCTCAGAATTTGGTGTTTTCTATTTATTTCCAGACTGGCAGATAACATTCTTTGGGAAATACAAGGTTTGACTTATAATGTCAGTATGGCAATCTGATTTATATGAGTATGAAAATATGATGTAATGTTAGTTTTTGTTTTTTTTGTGCATAAAATGAGTAGACTAGATTTCATCAACATTGGGACTTTCTCATAGGCTTGCATTATTATAGCAAGCACAGATTTCTAGAAATACAACTTTGGTACCTCAACAAGATTGTTTCAAGCTCAAACTCACAGGAGAGCATGGATAAGGCTCCTCAAAAATTTAAGTGAAAGCTATCTTCAGATACCTATGAGATTCACCATCAGACAGGTAATATAAGTCTACATGGTTGACATTGTCTGGGGTATATACAAGATACACAGAATCCTATCATATTTCTAGTTTTTTTTTTTAAAATCAGATTCATTATAGTATTTGACCCTTCAAAAATACTCATTAGTCAGAGGCTGGGGCAGATATGTGGTACAGCAGTTGCCTAGTAACTACGAAGCCCACGGTTTGATACTTAACCACCACAGAAAACAGAACAAAAAACACAAACACAAATGCACATTAGTGTTAGAATCTTTATGGCTGTCATTCCCTGAAACCTGAACTGACATCATCAATTAGGAAACTATTATTTTTTGATCTAACAATGTCACAAATAATATTTTGTTGAGTTGGTGAAAAATAACTCTCTAATGTCAACAAACTTAGTAGCTGAATGCTTATGAGTTGAAAATGAAAACAAGGAATGATGAATCACTCTCTGCTTCTGGCACCTGTGACTTTCTAGGTTTGCAAACATCACATCCTGTGTAAAAGTGAACTAAGAATTATTGGTACCTTCAATGGCAAAAGGCTTTCCCACAGTCAGAAGCTTGCAGTCGGCATCAATTGATACTTCATAATCCAGAAGGGCTTTGTCCATGATGAAGGCATCTAGTTTCTCTGGATCATTCCTATGTTTAAAACCAAAGGGAAGAGAAACGTAAGTGGCTCATTACTGAGTAAGAAGGAGTATCCTGACAGTTAGCTTTGATTTGGGGATAGAAACTTGGATACCAAGGGCAGCACAAACTTGCAAGCTGCTGGCCCTTGTTCGAATCTCATTCACTTCTAGAGTAGATATCAGGGGAATAGGCATTCCTTTTAGAGTATTCAAGTTCTTTCCCAGAAGTTTATCTACCAATCTCACTCCTAACTGTCAAGCTCGACATCAAAATCAGATGTAACTCTTAATTGAATAGGAAGGAGCACAGGGAAGGCTGATTTCTATTATTTATCAAAGTAACAGATGTTAAACACTGCATTCAGTATTCCACATACATTTAATTATTCATGAGGACTGTGAAACAAATAATGATGGAAATGAGGCTCAGAGATTGGAATTATTCATGAGGACTGTGAAACAAATAATGATGGAAATGAGGCTCAGAGATTTGAAGTATTTTGATTTAGGCCACACACCTGGTTAAGTGTGGGGGACAAGTGTTCTTGTGAATTAGATGTTGAAACTTTTATTTCTTCCTGTCACAATCACCATTTTGTTACTCAGAAATTTAATATAATTTTGTATTTAGGAATAGAAATCAAGGAAATACTTAGAAAAGACCTAGTGTTCTAAAAGAAAAGAAATTTGTAGTATCTTTAAGTCCATAGTATACCATCAGTAAATTGAAGGTGAAGCTTACATAACAGATTTTAGTGGTTCAATTTAATAATACGTCTCTAGAGCATCCCATTTCTTCCCACTGTATAGGTAGCTCAGAATAATTTAAGTTAGGTCCACTAGGCTTGTACTAGTTACCTGACAATGGGCTTAAGTTGCCATTAATTGTCTTGGGTGTCCTTTATGAGAATTCTCTATTGTTTAGAACATGGGTGTAGACACAGCCCAGTGGAAAGCTGTGTTTAATCACAGGCTGGACAACGTTTATAGGGAACAAAGAGTTTGGAAGGAAGCCAGCTAGGCAACTTCTTTGTTTTTATCCATCCCACATCCCTTATATTGAATTACAGAATTTATGCACTTAAGACTTTTCTTCTCTTTTATTAGTGCATATTAATTATAAAGAATAATGGGTTTCATTGTGAATTTTTTCCTCTTCCCTTCTCTGCCACCACCCCTCCTTCCTAACCTCTTTACCTCCATTTCTTTCCTTCTTCCTTCCTTCCCCTCTCTTTCAAAGTCTCACCACATATTCTGGGCTGATTTCAAATATACACACTTTTATCTCCATCTCATGATAGGTAGGGTTCAAACTTGAGCCACCACTCTCATTCATTCTGATATATTCATGTATTCACGTAATAGTTTGGTCATATCCCCTCCCTCTTGTCCTTCCCTCTTTTCTCTCCCCAATGTACTTTTAAAAAATAGTTTCTTATTACTAATGATATCCTCCCTTACCACTCATTTTCCCATTAAATAGTTTTCCTTTAATAACAAAGACTTTTCTACAATTAGAATTGTCTAAACAGCTTTGCAAGACAGCACCTCTCAATTTAATGTAGCCTCAGTCTTTCCATTCCTAAAACCAGAATGAGGCTGTGCAGATTAACAAATTGGAAGGGAAGGATATCCATAGACACAGGTGAGATTCACCACTAGGCAAGCAATTGCTTATGTTGCCTGGACTGCACATAGACATATAATAAATGGTTCCCTTTGGCATAAATTGCCACTGAATTATTTTCCCATTCTTCCGGCAAGTGAAACAGATGCTACGGAATGCATCTGTCTTTCCAGGAATATTTCACTTAAGTTACAATAACTTAATTTTGACATGTTTAACATCAACTAAAGTGAAAACATGACACATATCACTAGCAAGAGGAAGTCTGGGGATCATGAATTACTTCCTAGGAGTTGTTGATGAGACATCTTAATGGAATCTAGGTAATAAAGTCAAATTCTAGTCTGAAGATGCATCCTTAATTAAAATTTCATTGCCACAGCAAGAGAATGCCCCTTGAAAAGGGCTACACACTCACATGCCAATAGTCCATAAATGTCTATGCTAAAAATAGGACAAATAGGAAAAAACACCCTCGATGTTCATATACCCTTTTTGAAACCATAATTCCCGAGCCCTTGTGTCACTAATGTCCTTGTATGAGCACTCATGGTTTTGAACTGCATAGTGAAGTTAGTTGGCTTTGGTTGGTTTCTATGCCATAAAAGAGCAGAAGCAATGAGCTCATAGACTTCCTTGGGACCTGAGTCACTGGGGAGGAGGTGGACTGGCATGATCCAGTCATGAGTAGTTCTAGGCTGGCTTAATCATTGTTGTAGTTGGTAGAGCCACTAGCTTATTCTATTGTAGAATCATGTCTTACAAGCATTCATTTAAAAGTATATTTTACATACTACAAAATCAGCCATGTACTAACTTAAAATTAATGAGCATCCAGTGCAGACAATTTTGAGTGTTGTAGGTCAGAGTTCTAGAGTGTTGGTGGTGTGAGATAGCATGAGAATTATGGTTGCTTAGAGTGTTGCCTAAGAAAATCCACTGAGACTAGGTCAAAAATGGTGACAGGCCCAGAAAGAAATAAGGAGACACTGACAATAAGCTCAGCCTGTATTACTATTTTATGTCAATCAAATGAGTCACCTGGAAAGTTTGTAAAACTGTGGTGGGTTTGGGATGCACTTCTGTCTTGCTCCCTCACACCAACTACAAATGGGTATGGTTGGGCCATGAGTTATTCTTAAATCACCAATGATTCTTCCATTATGGCTTCTGAACTAACATGAAGTTATAATCCTAGTTTTTGTATATATTCTGCCACCTGTTAGCCATGTCACTTTTGGAAATGCCCTACCTTTGTGACACTGGGCATCAGATGAAGGCCTTCTTGGGTAAAGCCACTGGGAGAAATAGAAGCTCTGAGTACAGGAGAGCTGGTGGTCACTCAGGAAAGTTTCACCTCATCCTGCCATTGTGCTGGTAGAGCCCTGTTTGCCAACCACTGTCAGCTAGCTGAGGGCCCTTGTTATTTGGCATCCCATCCTCTCTCACACCTGTGCAACTGTCCGGAGAGAAAACAAGAGAGTCTGGAAGCTCTAAAGTGTGTCAGATAGGGACTCTAATGTTTTGATGTTTTAGTAAAATTAAGTGTCACTTAAACTTCATAAATAATTTTGTGAATCTAAGAGCACACAGCTTCCTGCCTGTCTCAGTTCTAGTTTAAAACATCCATAAAATTGATGAAGGGGCTATTACTAGATCTCTCAAGGAACTCAAAGCCCTTATGTCCTGTGAAAGTCTTTCTTTACTTTCTTTCCTTTTAGAAAAATGAATTGAGCCTACTTACTCTTCACTGGTGAAATTCTAATGTTAAGATGGAGAAACTGGTTTCCTGGTGATGAACCAAGGTGGGGATTAGGAGGTTGGATGCAAATGCTTGTCTTGATGCTATCAGGCAGCAGAGTGAGGACAGGTACCACTCTCACAGAAGTTTAAAGCCATCCAAGCCCTTCTCCCAGGCAGCCCAGACCAGCCGACTCATCACTGCACAGCTTGGCATTTGCCTCTACTGAATTACAGGCTCTGATAATCTGTCATGGAAACATGATTGCCTTTGATTGCTTCTCATAAATTCTGATGAGAAGAATGTAGGCACAGGAATCACTGCCTTCTATATTATTTCTTTCCCACAGGAAATCTTTGAGATAAATCTCCATTTCCTTGTGGCAAATTGAGGCATTTCACAGGCTTAGGGATTCACTTTGAAGAGAAAGGTTGCTTTGGGACACTATATCCCTTGGCCACATTCCCTATGTGTTTAATCATCTTAGCATTGTTGTTTAAGCCAACATTTTCTTCCCTTTCCATCACTCCACTAATGACCCTACTGGCTCTTTCACCAAAGGTGTTGCAAACTGTAGACTAAGTAGGTAACTGGTAATCTAGGTCATTTATTTTCCTGCACATCATTCTATATTGTCTTTTGGCTCTCACAGTGTATGAGTTATTTCTTTGTGTGTTTATGTGTATTTGTTTATATGTTTGTGTGTGTGTGTGTATGTATGCATGCATGTATGTATGTATGTATGTATGTATGTATGTATGTATGTATAGGCTAGAAAAAGCTGACATGTGGTGTCTTCCTCAATCATGCTCTATTTTTTTTTTTTTTTGTTTTGAGACAAGGTCTCTCAGTGAACCTGGAGTTCCTTGACTTGGCTAGACTGACTGACCAAAATGACTCTGGGATCTTCTTGCCTTTATTTGCCCATCACTGAGAATATTTGTGTGTGCCTTGCATCTTACACAGGGGTGGGAGATTCAAATCCAGTTCCTTATGGTTGTACAGAACATATTTTATTGACAACATTAGGGATTTTTGTCCATCATATTGTAAAACAAAGGCAAAACCCAAATTATTTCTCTTTCATTGGAACTTTCAGGATCCAAGAGGCTGACACTCACTTCAGATACTGCACTCCATCAGGGGTGGCTGGTACGTTGTACCTTCTCATGTACTCGTGCATCTCTGGGAAGCTCTGCCGTACATAGTCTTCAGCACTGCTTTCCCGGACAGTTCCAAAACGGAAGCCTTGAGAAGGGTGATGAAGCTATGGAGAGAAAAAGAAATGGTTCTAATACGCAGTACTCATTTAATTACTTGTTTAAAACCTTTTACCATTGTGTTTCAAAGTTCAATAATTGAGAACATTTTAAGCACCTAAAGGCACTAACATGCAAACAAAGTGTGCAGACACAGACATAGGTATATTCTTGATTGTATCCAACTCTGTTCTGCCCTCAGAAGGAAAGAGATAGGAATGACAAACCAAATATACAAAACTAGTTCATTTCTCAAGAATGTTACTACACTTACATATTTTGTGTGCGTGCATTGGTGGGGGAGTTGGGTGGCACATAGGCCATGATGTACGTATGGAGATCAGGAAACAACTTGTAGGAGTCACATACCTCCTTTTACTATGTGGATCTTGGGAACTGAACTCGGTTCATCATGCTTGGTGGCTATCACCTTTACTTTAGTCATCTTTTAGCTCCCTAGTAGATAGTATTCTCTTGGCAATGTCCAGATAGAAACGTAGAAGCAGCATCATATTGAGAATTGAATATTAAAATATATCTTTGTGATTATAACCGTCATTAGTTAGAACTGCACAAAAGGCCAAGTTAAAAGTATCCTGGGATGATATATCTTGCCCAATGTTGTGAATACTTTCATTTTATGTTACTAATCCTGATGCTGTATTTCATCGTAAATGTATTGAAATTACTGTTGCTGCTGTTATGAATTATTATTTCTCCTTTAGGTAGTTGCAGTACCCAGTGCTGAGTCATGCTGTGCATTTTCTCAAATGGAATAGTGCCTTAGACAGGCCTAAGGGAGTAAGGGATTGTAGGATCAGAGCCAGGAATGTCCTAGGTATCCAGGATTCAAGACTTCACAGAGAAGAGACAGTGCACTGAGACCCCTGATGAGACATCCTCAGCTAAGGAAAATGAAGATAACACATGCATATAATGTCTTAATCAGCTCAATTACAGAGACACACTGACATGGAGTGTAAAATATATATTCTGCTAAATAGGCAAAAGAGCTGGGATTGGGTCATATTATGAGCATATTCACATATCCTTTGGTCAGCATTAGTATAGAGATTATTCTTCTCAATTGTCCAGTAAAGCCTTTCAACATCTGTGCTCTGCTTCATATTGACATATTTTACATCACTGATATTGATCTGAAGCCCTGGATAAAGGAGCCATGAATGGACTTTATGAACTTTTTAAACCTCCTGAAATTTCAAGCAACATCACATGTAAATATGCACTTGCAATAGTCTTCTATGGAAGGAGACAACACAGAATTCTTTTTAATGAAAATAACCAGGATTTCAAGTTATTTACATCCCACAAGCTATGAACTCACTGAATATAGAAACATTTGATATATTTGAAGATGAATTGATTTTGACCCATACTAAAAGTCTAATAATTACATGAGTTAAATAACCTACATGTTACATGTTTATAGAATGTTATACAGTGTATGAATTATGTTTGCGGAATGTATTTAATAAAACAAGCGCTCTCAGAGAAATGGAAAAACATTTATGGGGTTTGACCAAAATTACCTATGTATGTGTTTGTTTAAATACTATCATTTTTCAGGAATATAATTTATTTATTCATGGTTTACTGAGATCCTATAATATACAACTCTCAAAGTCACATCTGTAACCTGCACTAAGACCGTATGGCTGTTAATGCTATTTCTTTGGATGCTCTACTGTTGAGTATGGCAATATGGCATATCCTTGTGTTCAGTATAGTTATCTTACACCCTGAACATGTCCTAACATTTTTTGCCAACATAACTTTAATGAGGCACAAACAAGAACAGCAACTAACACCAAGTGCTTATATTGTACCTTACATGGAACTGAATACTTCACATGCTTTATTCTGTTTAGTGCTCATGGCTCTGTGGGCAAGAGAACTATACCCCCTTTCTTTAAATAACTGGTGTGCTAAAGCTCAGTGAAGTGAAGTAACCAGTATAAAATAACTCAGAGTGAATGGACAGGGATGAGTTGTGACCCAAGTCTGTTATTGGCCACATCATCCTGCCTTCTAGCCCCTGTAAATAGCTGGATGAAGTGTTCATTAGAAGCAACCCAAATAGCCCCCATTTTGCCCATTCTCTGTGTATGTGTTCATGTGCATGCATGTGTGTGCATGTGTGCATGCAGGCTGGAGGTCAACACTGAGTTCTTCCTTAATCATTCTTCATCTTAGCTTCTGAGACAGAATCTCTTGCTGTGACTGAAGCTCATTGACTGGACTAGTTTGGATGGTCAGCAAGTCATACAGATCCTCCTGTCTGGGATAGCTTTTTCATGGAGGATCTAAATTCAGATCTTCATGCTTATGAAGCAAACACTATCTCAGCTCCTTGGCAGTCTCTTCTTACTATTCTCTTGAGTATGCAATCCCAGGCCAATCCTCACAATAGCAACTGCTGCCCTACAGCTTGAACAAAGGTTTTTCAGCCTTTTCTCTATGTAATACCTGCTCACCTTTTAAGTCCTAGTTCAACATTCTCTATGTTAAGCCTTTAGTCTTAATCTAGTTTCACTCTGCTGCTTAGAGTGATAAGAACAAAAATAATAATGAACTGTTTACCTGTGCAAAACAATGTCTTATACATTTAAAACATTTGGCCCAGCTGTTTATTTGAGCAATTTTTCACACATAGATGCATTATCTCCTTTGGCCCTCCCAGGAAACCTTTGCTTTAGACATTTCCATTATCTTCCCTTCACAGGAAAAGTGATGTAAGAGTAGAAAGTTTGTCATTTGCCCAAAGCCACAGAGTCTGTAAGTACTGCACATGGGGTCTGAACCCAGATAGCCAATTAAAACATTCAGCTTGATCACTGTAGAAGGCCTTTCCTCACACATGTTGTATGACTACCTAGATCAGATGAGTAAAAAATTTACTACTTGCATGAGTAAAAAATTTATGACTTAAGCAGTAAGCAGGTATTACAATGAGCCAAGGTCTTTAAACATTTTCCATAGTATTATATGACAAGAAAAAAAGCTATTTTCTTGGTTTTACAGACAGAGACAAAAATAATTTGCATTATTAATAATGGGCAATATTTCTTCCTTTGCCATGTATATCTGGTTTAATTCATCTGTAGATCACGTACTGATCATGACAGTGGTACCTGAAAGAATTCTGTAGCTTTTCATCAAGTTAATTCATTTGGTAACTATTCTCTAGTTTGTATTTTTCCATTGACCCTGTATAGTCATATCTACTCTCACTTCATTCATCACTCTGTGACGTGGTGTGTAGTCTAGAACCTCCTTTAACAGTCCAGAGTACTATTCATTACACTATAGGCCCCACAGATTCCTCTTTCATATATCCTCATACACAGCCCACACATCTAGTTGTGGTTTTAAAGTCAATGATATAATTATTTGGTTAACATCTAGACTATCAGCTTTTGCTCAGAAATAGAAACTCTATATTTCCATTATATAGTTTCTCAATAAAAAGGCCTTGTGGTTGGCCAGTGAGATGGAAGAGCAGGTAAAAGTGCATTCTGCACGAACCTGAGTTCCTGAGTCTAGTTAGTTCCTGAAACCCATATAAGGGTAGAAGAAATGATCTAGGTCCACAAAGATGTCTTCTGTACACACACACACACACACACACACACACACACACACACACACAGAGACAGATGCATGTCCACATATAAATGCATAATACACAAGTGCACTATAGCCATAAATAAGACCTCAAATCTTCATATTACTAATAAAATGTTTTTAAAAGTCTACAGATTACTAATTGGTAACTAGTCTTTGAACTCAGAGGGAGAGGAAAGCTTTGCTTTCCCACATCATGTAAACAGTGCCCATAGCCAGTTACTACTCAGGCTTTCCAATTGAGTCTTATCTTTAATGCGAAAGAGCCACAGGACCATTAGTTATTAGACTTTTGCCTTATATGTGAAAAGAATATTTTCTGGTCATGCATTTCATCACACTTCATTGCAGTAATACCTTCATGGGCCATGGGCTGACTGTAGGCAACTCTGCTTTTCTGGGCTTCCTTTTCTCTGTTGACTGCTTCAGAGCACTGTCTGTTCCTAAGAATTAGGAGATATGAGCCAGCAGATCCAGGCTGGCCTTTGGTGTTTTTCCTTTCCCTGACTATCGACTGTCATTTCTCATCAGCACTTACATTGGCTTCATGTGACTCAGAAAACAGTAGATTTTGTTTTGAGAATGAAAAATGACTTCAAGTGTTAACAAACAACCAGACTCATGGTCATTATAGAACTCAAATATGGGCACAATACTTTCTCCCTTAGTGCTCATCAATGGCTCCTCATGCTCTTGAGGTAAAGTCCAGGGCCGCCATGGTCTCTCAGGTTGAACGTAGTTTGCTCCTGTCTCATTTCTAGACTCATCTTCCCATTCAGGCAGTTGATTCCTTTGCAGTTTCTTCAATCTAATTTTCCTCTTTCACTTTTCTTTGACTCAAAACCATCTGCTTCTTGCTTCATGGTAGCTCCCATGTATATAGTCTTCATTCTGCTTGGAAGGACCTCTCCACATACTCATGCCTTCTTTGTCTAGATAACTCCTGCATGTCACATCCTTAAGGAAGCCTTCACTGATCCTTAAAGTATGCCAGGCCACCTGTAAAAACCTCCTGTTGTACCTAAGGATTCAAGAGGTGATGATAATAGTTGAAACTATTTGTTACAGCTGCCTGCTACATGTCCATGAGAGCAGGGACGTCTTTCCTATTCATGTGATATGAGTCTTCAACAATGTTAACTGCTGTTATTGTCATCATCACATAAAAACACACTCAGTACAGAGGGGGTGTTTGAAGGTTCAGGAATAATAAGAGAAACATCATTATTAACATGGAATTCTCTAAGGTTTAATGCATTACAAGTCTCATACTTTCATTATATGCTTCTCTTTAAAAACCCGTTTCCTCTAATTTTTGCCTTCATGCTTTCAAAACAAGGCGTTTTATTTTTCTGTGTGATAT